CAGAAAGACAGAGACAGAGAGACAGAAAGCGAGAAATCACCCCCCAGCGGGGATGGGCACACCGCAATTCCTTCTCCTCCATCTTCCTCTCGGGATCTTGAGCACGCACGCACACATGTCCCATGTGACTTTAAGCCACCGGGTCCGGGATTTGAACCATGATTGACTACGTGGGAGTCCAGCGACATAGCCATTACGCCAACTGCTGGTCCCAAGAGTTCCCTTTAAAACCCCACTTTTACTCTTGACCTGATCTACAGAGGTCAACAGGCCTGGAGTTGCTGCCAGTGGGAATCTGTGGCTTCAAAATGTCATGCACACAACCCCAAGGAGATGCCTCATGATGTCCCCACCTGTCTTTTAGGTTACTGAGTGGCAGAAAGATCCACAGCCAGGAAGAAGCATTAGCGGTAAGGAGGCCTTCTTGGACTTGGTGTGCTATAGCTGGGCAGAGGGCATAGCCACACGTCCATGCGGATGGGAGATGGGTGGCTCAGGCACTCAGCGTAGCCAGCTTCCAGGCCTCTAGCCAGCTGGCTGCCAGGGCTAGACAATGCATGTATCTTCTAGTCTGGCCACTTAGCTGGCTGTCTGCCTCTTAGCATATCTGGGGTATGGATGGGCTGCTGCCTGCTCTGCTCCTGACATGGTCACTGCATGAATGCCCTGGGGTTGCCACGACAAAGGGGGATAGGGGGCCATGGAAGTATGTCCAGGGCCGCACTCTCTGTAGCCTTCCTGCCTTCTCCAGCTCCCACTGCTGCTGGCTTGTGGCCCATCACAGAGCCTTTGTCTCCCCATGTTAATGTCTGTGTCCCCTCTTCTCACAGGACACCAGTGACTGGGTTAGGGAGTGCCTTGCTCAGTCTGACCTCCTCTTTACTGATCACATCTGCTGTGACCCTGCTCTGGGGTTCTGGGGTTGGGACCTCAGCCTGTCTTTTCTCAGTTCAGCCCCTTATAGTCACTGTCATCTGTTAAGCACTGCGTGCCGAGTGCTGTGCCATCCTGGACGCCCCTCACTCAGCGTGTCCTGCAGCCCTCCCCACAGTGTGTACCATCACGTGCCCACCTCGTCTCCCCGTAACTTCGGTTCAGCCTTCCAGCTCCAAGACGTGCAGTGGCTGCAGCTGCCTCTCAGTTGCCTGCAGCGGTGGCCATGCTGCTGCATGTGTGGCCTGTCTGTCTGTGGGTGGGGTGTGTGGCCCCCCTGCCCTGGCCAGGAGTCCCTCCACCCAAGAGCACCACCATGCCAGCTCACACATAGGTGAGCCCTGCGGTCTTGCTGCAGGGCAGGGCAGTGAGGCACATGCACATGAGTGGGCTGCCAGCGTGTGCCGGGCCTTCAAGCCAGTGCTGCCAAGAGCAGCTGAAAACTGCCAGACGGGCCCCCAGAAACATGAGTGCATGGCTGTATATATGTAAGGGGTGTGTGCTTTGGTGTGTAGCGATATGTTTAGGTGTGTAGTATATCGGCCCATGGGTGGTGCGTGTGTGTGAAAACTCCACCCTGGCCGCGCACAGCCCTGAGCCAGCGTGCACCCAGCATGTGCAGGGCAAAAGGAGCTCCTGCAGGAGCAGAAAGGCGAGCTCCTGGTGCTGCTGGACTGTGACCATCTGGCTGGTCTCTGGTCCCAGTAGCAGGGGAAGGCTCCGCGGGTCACCTTGGGAGTTGACCTCAGGACACTGCAGGTCACACTCGAGCTCTCTAGGGCTCCTTGTGCTTCCAGATCTTCAGAGAAAGCCTAGAAAGAGTGGGGTTCTTGGGGGTTCTAAGTGGCTCACCTGCTTTGGTAGGTGGTTTTCCCAGTATAGCCTCTCTCGTCCTCTCTTTTTATTTTTTTATTTTTTTATTTTTTTTGGTAAAACCAGGCCACTTTAATGTTTGTGTACAATTTAATAAATAATCTTTTGATAATGGCCGACGCGTGAGATCGGCTATATTCAGAAACATCTGTTATGATGGTTTTCCAGATGGTATATCATCTTCAGAAATTACAAGGAGTTATTTATGTGTAACTGCTATCAAACCAGTAAGGCAGCATTTATGCATCCATCATTTTCAGGATTGTTGGTAACTTGGGCATATTTCCCCCAAATAACCTTGCCTCCTTGTGTCACAAGGCGCAACTCGCTTACGTTCACCTCAATGACAGTACCTTTGGTGATAACACCCAAAGTTGTATAAAGTGGGGATGAGGGATTCTTCTTTACACCAATATTGGCAGGTAAAAGGTGGCTTTCAGTTCAAGATGTGTGATGTGGACCTTCTTGAAACATAAGCCCATTGGTCTAGTGAATCTTTCATATTTAGGTGGTTTTCTAGTAAAGCCATCTCCAACAAAGCAGACTTTTGTAACCATCCTCTTCCATGCCTCCTCCTTTTTCTTTCCTGTTCGAATAACTTTTTCTTTTCTTTTTTTTTTTTTGAGAGAGAGAGTTTTGCTATAGGGCACGTGCACTCGCTAGACAGACAGAGAGAGACATAGAGACAGAAAGCGAGAAATCACCCCCCAGGGGGGATGGTCACGCCACAATCCCTTCTCCTCCATTCTCCTCTCAGGATCTTGGGCATGCACACACACGCGCCCGGTGTGAGTTTTAAGCCACCGGGTCCGGGACGCGAACCGCAGTCGACTACTTGGGAATCCAGCAACGTAGCCATTACGCTAACTGCTGGTTCCCTCAAATAACTTTTAATACTTCTGTTTCTCCCTGGGCTTGAACTTTGGGTAGAGGGATTTCTCATTTTCCCACTTTCTCTTTCCATTTTTGTTTAATCATATTGGAAAGTACTTTAGCTCAAGACTGCCCTTCTCTGTCCAACAGATAGGCAGGTACTGCTCCTTGTGGAGTCTTTACATCATGCTTTTGTTTGGCATTCTTCTTTTCATGCATCGTTTTTTTTGTTTGTTTGTTTTTTTGTTTTTGTTTTTGTTTTTTTGAGAGGTTTTTGCTATAGGGTGCGTACGCTCACTAGACAGAGACAAAGAGACAAAAAGCGAGAAATCACCCCCCCAGGGGGGATGGTCACGCTGCAGTCCCTTCTCCTCCATTCTCCTCTCAGGATCTTGGGCACAAACGCACACGCACCTGGCGTGAGTTTTAAGCCACCGGGTCCGGGACGCGAACCGCGGTCCACTACGTGGGAATCCAGCGAGTGCCATTATACTAACTGCTGATTCCCTTTTCTTTTCATGCATCTTTCTTTTTTTTTTTTTTGAGAGGTTTTCGCTATAGGGCGCGTGTGCTCGCCAGACAGACAGAGAGAGACATAGAGACAGAAAGTGAGAAATCACTCCCTGGGGGGATGGTCATGCCGCAATCCCTTTTCCTCCATTATCCTCTCGGGATCTTGGGGTGCCATTATACTAACTGCTGATTCCCTTTTCTTTTCATGCATCTTTCTTTTTTTTTTTTTTGAGAGGTTTTCGCTATAGGGCGCGTGTGCTCGCCAGACAGACAGAGAGAGACATAGAGACAGAAAGTGAGAAATCACTCCCTGGGGGGATGGTCATGCCGCAATCCCTTTTCCTCCATTATCCTCTCGGGATCTTGGGCACGCACGCACACGTGCCCGGTGTGAGTTTTAAGCCATCGGGTCCAGGACGCGAACCGCAGTCGACTACGTGGGAATCCAGCAACATAGCCATTATGCTAACTGCTGGTTCCCTTTTCATGCATCTTGATAGTCTTTTCCATCTGTGTTTTCTCAAATGGCGCTGTTTATGACAGAGCTTAGCCTTCAGACCAATCATCTTATTTGCCTTCTTTGAACGTTCATGAGCCTCCCGACTTTCCTTCTTTCTCTTTTTCTTGTGGTAATCCAAATGGTATCCATAGCATTTACGATTAATTCAATATTCATTTTGTGGCATGGTGATGGCTGTAGAGTTGCCTGGAACAGCCTCCCAGACTCAAAGGAGTTGTCAAATTTCAGGTCTCAGAGACCAAGAAGTAGACCCGACGCAGTCTGGAATGGGAAAGTTCTTGTCCCCTCTTTTGGATGGTGCTGGCTGTGCCTGGGTGCTGGGATTTGTGGTATGGGGAGAGCAGTGGCCAGGCAGGTGGCCCCCATGTCAGAGCCAGTCTCAGGAGCCAGGTGCATGATGCAGCTAACGCACTCCCTGTTGGCCGGCAGGTAATGGATGTGCTGCATTCCATGGGCCCAGACACAGTGGTTATCACCAGCTCCGACCTGCCTTCCTCAAGGGGCAGCGACTACCTGATCGCACTGGGGAGCCAGAGGACGAGTAAGTGCCCACCTACAGCTCAGGTAGCCTTTGAGGCTTCAGGGAAGATTTTCACTTCAGTGCCTTTCGGCAAGTAATGTCCTGAACTGTTACCCCTGAGGAAGGGCAAACTGAAAACAGGGTCAGGAAAGGCTTCTATGGGAGGCTAGGGCAGGATACAGGACAGGTTACACCGTACCGACTGTGGTGACATCCATGGCAGACCCGCTGCTGTGCAGGCTCCAAGGTCAGATGGGCTGGGGCTGCTGGGGCATATGGACCAGGCATCCACATCCAAGTCTGGGTCTGTGACCTCAGGAGCAGAAGGCCAGAGGCTCATGCTGAGACAGTGACCCTGAGCTTATACTCCTGGCCCAAAGGCAATTTCGTGTGCAGCATCCCAGCCTTCCTGCACCTGGACACAGCTGCCTCGCCTGCACATGCCCATGCACGTGTATGCATGCACGCTTCATTGTGCCCAGGCAGCTCCTAGCTCATGCCCTCATTCCTCTCTTCGCCACCTGTACAGTGTCCCCAAGGCTATCCTGACTATGGTCTCTTGAGGTCCCAAGTCCTCACATTCTCCTTTGGGCCAGAGTAGCAGCTGGGAGTCCCATAGGCAGGCAATGCTGACCCTCCCTGTTGTACAGGAATAGCAGGACATGGAGGGTTGCTGGTTCCCACCACAGGGCCAGCCCTCTCCTGGCCAGGGAGTCCCAGGTCCCAGCACCCTTGCACCTTCTTCCCCCAGGGAGGCCCGACGGCTCCATGGTGACAGAGCGCATCCGGATGGAGATGCGCAAGGTAGATGCTGTCTTCGTGGGCACCGGGGACCTCTTTGCTGCCATGCTTCTGGCCTGGACACACAAGCATCCCAACAATCTCAAGGTCAGCCACACATTCCACTCTCCTGCATAGACATGCCCACAGTGCTTCTTGGGGGACTTCTACAAAGGAAGGAGGACCAGACTTAAATGAAGCCGAGGGCTGGCCAGCCAGGGCCATGGGAATCCAACACCAGCACCCTCTGATCACTGGAAACGGATAAGCACAGTGTCCGGGGACTTGGGATTGAGCAAGCAGGTGCTTACTGGAGAGACTGGGTGGGGTGGGGGCTGGTGAGAAAGCATCCCTCAGAGAGGATGGCCACACCTCAGTCTCTTCTTCACTTTCAGGATTTGGGGCACATACACATATGTGCCTGACATATTTTTTTTTCCTGATGTGTTTTTCAAGCCACTTGGTCTGGGACTCTGAGACACACAGTTGGCTTTGTGGGATCCAGCTGCCTTAACCATCATGCTCCCAACTGGTCCATATATATATATATATATATATATATATATATATATATATATATATATAGATATTTGTTCTA